ACGAGGAACCGATATCTCTCTCCCTCGGGCGAAAGATGAAATTATTTTTGCGTTACTCATCTTTAAATATGCCGATATATTTTTATCTTATTAAATTTAACAGCGAGGTTTCTTTTGCGACATTTCGAAAGCTTCAGAGTTTCCCCATCCACTTGTCGCGAATTTACTCGCATGGCGCGTGATCGCGTTTCATACAAAAGAGTGCTGTCTGATACCGAAAGAGATATAAAAATCGCGGAAATGATTTCGCTGCTGTAACAATATTATGCATGCAAGAACGTACTCACGATTGCGATCTACATGCATAACACGTGCACCCTGCTGGCGCCGTATGCAGTTCGCGATTCCGAGGTTAACAGATCTCACCTTCGCGAATGCAATACTGAGGATATTGTCTAGCGAAAAATGATGTTAATAATTTACTTACTCAATTAGTCAGCTAAATAATGAAGTTACGCTAATACGCTCTAAATTCTTTGGAGTGAAATCTTTAAAGCAGGCTTGTCCAATTGCAGCTCCGGAACCAAAATGCAAAGCCATCGACGTAAAAAAATCAATGTGAGTAAGATTTTAAGAACTATAAAGTGTTGATAAGAGCGTCCCTTAAATGCGTATCAACACTTTACAATCCCCGAAATCTTACCTACATGAATTTTTTTGCGTCGATGCTTTGCGTTTTGGATAGGCCTGCTCTAAAGAGTGAAAATTGAACTAATCTTGAAAAAGAGTGGTTTAATTTTGAATTTTTAAGAATGAGATTTCACTCTTCAGAGTGAGATTCACTCTAAAAGTTTTAAAGAGTACACACATTCACAAAGTACGACATTGCGCATCATTTTTCTTCACCACAACATTATAATTTTTTTAATGTAAGCATTTGTGAAACAAGCAAAATTCCGGCGACCGTGGTTCTCGATTAAACTGACGAAATGATATAGTTGACACGGCGATCCAGTCCCGATCCCCGAAACGGCTCAGTTGATTGACCTCGAAGCTAAATTTGCCTAGCGATCGCAACTAAACAGGCGCGTACCTAGTTACTAGACTATCGATATGACATTTTGGCTCACAGTTATTAGGTAAATCTAAATGTGTATACACAGCCTGCTAAAATTTACATTCAAGTAGCTAGGCGAAACTTAATGTTAATGAACTCAATGTTAATGACTAGTTTACTTATTGTTAGAAAGGTATTCTCTCCTTAAATAATTCCTTTGTTTTCGTTAAAACCAAAATATTTTTCTGTAAGCTTTTATCTGTAAAACATCCCTAATTTACATAAAATAAGTTCTTGAATTCTTAAAATTCACTTAGAATTCGTTACGCTGCGTTTTAACTGTGTGGAAAGTCGATTAAACTGCGAAGTCTACGTGCCAAGAAATTCGCAGCTAACAGTCGCCACTGTTTTTACAATGTGTGATGATTATGCGAACTCATTTTCATGAGATAGAGAGACTGAGAGGGAAGTCGACCGAGTTTTCTCGGTCCTTTGTGCCCGTTTTGCCGCATTGCTAATCGGAAAACGGATGCAGCTACACTGACAGAGCGGAGTTTAGCCGATGAATCAAAACGTAGTTTGTGTGTCGGGTAATGTATCACGCGAGGCTCGCCGAGTATGTAAAGAAGCTGCTGGCATCGTACATAGTAGTTCGAATAAACTACATATTGATAGCGCGCGTACCTCTCTCTCTCTCTCTCTCTCTCTCTCTCTCTCTCTCCTGGCGACACGTGTCGCGGTGCATAGCAAGCCGAGTAAATGCATCTGTCATTAGAGCGCAAAATAAGCGCTACCGTCATCGGCTAGCTCGTCAGGAATTGGCCGAAGAGACAACTCGCTTCTCCCCCAGATTAGCGCAAGAAGACCGCGAGAGGCAGAACGTTGCAAATTAATTCTGATTTCCCACCGACAGAAAAACAACAAAATAACTTTTTAATCTTTTCTAAAATTGAGAATGGATAAATACATTATAAATTCGTATTTATTTAATGCATTGATTGCCAATGTTTTAATATGAACATAAAAATAAATAAATAATATTTTAATCATTGGTTTTAAATAAAACTTGTGTTACTTTATCGTTACTAAAAAACGTTTAAATATTATCTGTGTACGGATTATATGCGCTAAGTTCTATGGAGAGATTGGTAAAAAATTAATTTTGTCGAGCTACATATTAATTCAATTTGTGACAAAGAACCATTTCTTAAAATTTGTCATACTTATTTAAAGTCACCCTGTACATGAATCGTCCGAAACTCTTTATACAAACATCTTCATCGATATAACGAGCGTACAAAATATAATTCGAGAAGGATCTCGTGTCCGTCCTTTGTCTCGTAAGATATGTCTGTCCACCGCCATCTATCACTACTACGATGCTGTGAATAGAAAAACATAGGATTCCGTCAGACCCTATATGTCTATATACGTAGGATGGAATCATGGCATATACACACACACACACACACACACACATTAGGAGATAGCGTAATGAAATTCGCCAATTTATTTCGTGACCGCATCATTATTAAGACATCTCGAGCCAAACCACCGACTTAATGAAATTCATTAATCCAGCCAGTACATTCCGCAGGGAGATTCACGCGAGCTCAAGGTCACTCAGTGATCTGCGTTCGCGAGCATTCTCAAATAGCAGAAAACTCCTTATCCCTTTTAATAGTCCTTTTAAACGGCGTTGCCATTCATTTCCTTTGAAGCTGTCGCGACGTGAACAGTTTTATCATACTTGATCTTCTTCATTATACAGCCTTCGCGCTGAACCTGCAAAGCTTACCGCGAGGCCTATAGTGTAGAAATACTTTATTTAAAGCTTTAACGCGAAACGTTTAAAATTGAAAACAATTTTAAAAACAACTGCGAAACATTGAACGCTTAAAATAGTTCGCGAACTTTGGGCTTGGAAAATATTTAGACATACCAAAATATTTATATCATATATTATGTAGTAGATTGTTTCTTATAAACAATTATTTTTATACATTTTGTGCATGATGTATATAATATCATGTTTATTTATATTATAATATGTATTTATTGTTTTCTATACGTTAAATTTATTAGTTGATTAAGAATTATTAGCCTCGTATATTATAATTATTAAGAATTAGGTTAATATTAAAATTTTTATCAAAATGTTAATATTATATTAACCCAAATGTTATGTCATATCTTTTCTTTTAATGAAAGTTTAGAACCCAAATTCTTAAGCTTGATATTAGCTTCTTTCATTCAATAGTTGTATAATCTAATATAACATCGTCACGAAATATAATGATCTTGTGATTCTTAATTCAAACTCTTTAATTTTCACAGAACTTGTTTCATACGAGAAATTGGGAATTCATAATAATGGAAACATCACGGTATCGATGTTGTGCATTTCATTGAATGTCTTTTTATTTTATGATAGATTGAAACTTTTATTCATTTTAAATTAATTAAACACTCGGTAGAAAGAAAGTGAATGTCTTGCCGGCATCAACAAACACGATGTTCGACAAAATCTAGTTAAAAAAATGTATCTTAATATAAATTTCGCGATATAATCGAACGTAAACGTTTACCTTAAAACCGGCGCGCGAAACTTCAAAATGGGGTCGACGTCGTTCTTCTCGAACTGCAACTTTTAAAGCATTTTTTGCCGCGCTGTTTATGAAACGACTGTATTGGCTGAAACATCTGTCGCCGAAACGATCCAAGTCTTGAAATGAGCCCGAACCGTCTCTGTGTTACACGCCATGTTGAGCTTTGTTAATAATAATTGGTGGATGGTTAATAATAATTAGTGATTACGTGATAAATCTTAGGAAGACAATTTCTTTGTACATAACTTAAATTTTTATATATCGTTGTCAATTTACTTTTTGTTATCTATTAGAATTTAAATTGTAGATACAAAGTAGGTATTAAGAAAACGTTAATTTTAATTTCAGTAATATTAATTTTAATTTAATTACATTAATTTTAATATTAATTTAAGAAAAAATTAATTTTAATCATCTTTCATATAAACTTAAATTTTTTATATTATATTATTTTGAATTTATCAATTATTATCTGTTAAAATTTAAATAGATGCAAAACAAGTATTTAGAGAACATTAATTTTAATCATCTTTCATATTTGAATATGATTCTGATAATGAGTTATTATTTCAGGATGTAGACGCTTTTGATTAATTGTTTCATGAAAGACGTATTTAATATATGTTGAATTACAGCAAAAGAAAATATAATATTATTTTCTTTTTTCTCTTCGTACGTAATTCTATATTCTTGTCATGTTTTTGCCACGATCGAATTTGTACTTTATATTGTACCTTATATTGCTATTTAATAATATTTAAATGTTTAACACGATACAAAAATAAAAATCAGAAATATCCATGTTTGAAATTCGAGGATCACTGACATATTTAATGTAAAGACACCCGCCAAGTTAAACGACCTCGCAAAATGTTAGGTGCGAGGACGGGATAATCGTCTTATATAATCTCACCAATTTCCTCTGGACAGTGCAACAATTGCACGAATGTGATCGATAAACCAGAAATTTTTACAGATCTCTGAAAATCACCAAAAGAGAGAGAGACACAACGCCGCTATTTCTCATGTTTTATTAACGAAAAGAATCATTTGAATACACAGTGACGTGACACTAATCTTAATCTCAAATTTCTCTCGAAACCAGCACCTCTACTATTCTAAAAAAAACATCGATCCTCCTCCAATTACACATTAAACGTATCCGAGTTTCAGTAGAACGCTCATCTAAATCTTCGCGCGTTTCTTCCAAGCAATTCAAACGCACGATCAGCATCAAGACATCTCATAGATCGATCGACTCCGACGATAAAGAGATAATCGCTTCCGTTAATTTTTGACAGCACTTCTGTCGATCCTCGAAGAGGACGACTGTCGATCCCACCATCAATTATCCCCTCGGGACAGGGGAAGATAGGGGGCAGAATTGCACTTACCACATATCTTCCTCGGCGGCGGAGCACGACGATTGCGTTGCGTATTATGTGAACCGCCGGGCGTATCCGCTCGTCATATCCGCGCGTACACTCGCACTCGCACTCGCGCGCGGCTCCGCTCCCTGCTGCCGCGGTGCTTCGCCACTCGTGCGAGAAAAAATTCACCCTTTCTCCCCTCCTCGTTTCTAGCCTCTGAGGACCACTCGATCACGCCGGCCTCTCGGCCCGGCACCACTTCCGTTGATTTACGCAGAGCGCAACGCACCCTCTTCGCCCGAGCAGCTTCGCTTCCACCCTTCTCGCACCCTCGCACGCGCGCGACGCGCGTGTGTATCTCACCCAACAATACCTCCCTCGTGGCGCTATGTCGCGGACGCTCGCTACCTCCTGGACACAGTACGAGAGCACCCACTGTACTACAACACCAACACCAACACCAACACCACCATCACCACCACCAACACCACCACCACTACCACCACCACCGCCACCAGGCACGACGACCGGTACACTACACGATGGAAGACGTGGGGAAAACTGAGCGCGGGCGCACCACCGTCACACGTTCTGCTACCACTCCTTTTCGCTTCTTCTATTCAGCTCTCTTTCTCCCCTTTTCTCTCTTTCTCTCTCTTTCTCTTTCTTCTTCTCTTTTCCTCTTTATAGGCTTCTCTTTCCATTCCTCTTCTCATAATGTTCTATCTCCATCCTGCTGCCTCCTTCTGCTATCTCGGTCTCTCAGTTCTCTTGACGCGGCCTCTCCTGCCTCGTATAAACTTATAAATAGATATCTAGGTGCGTTCTATTATATTTATATATCGCGGCTCTCTTTCTCGCGCATACATGCTGATGAGAGAAGGAGAAGGAGAGAAAAAGAGAGAGAAAGACAGCGCGAGCGTGAGCGCGACACCGCTCTCTTGCAGAGGTAAAGACCGATCCCGCGTGCGTGCGTGCGCGTTACGCGCTTCCTTTACATATCCTCGAGAAGAGCACCCTTCTCGATCTCGATGTACTGGACTCTCTTCACGAAGAGGGATTCTCAGCAATGAAATTCCCGCTCGGCGCGAGGGTACCCAGAGAGAAAGAAGAAGAAGAGCTGTGTCACTTGACGACGACGTCGACGACGGCGTCGGAAAGGCGACGTCTGCGATCGTCTAGTCGGATCAATCGTGAATTTCTTTCCCTTTCTTTAGCCCTCGCACTCTCGCGACGACGAAGAGAACAACGAGGAAATATCTTCACCCTTTCGAGTCTTCCTCCTTCCCCGAGCTCTTCGCTTTCTCGTTCTCTCTCGCTACCTCCCCTTCGACCTCGCCTCCCTTCGCGGCTCACGGCAAGCAACCCCGATGTCACTGCACCGCTCTCTGTCTCGCTCGAGCACCCGTACGGCCAGTGCTCCCTTCTCCTATATATACGCGCATTCCACCGTGTTGGTGGTCTCGCCCCGCGTACACGTTTCTCCTCGATGATGCGCGCCGGGATAGTCCGAAATCCGGCAAACAAATTTCCAGCGCGGAGGTCGACGACGACGTCGTCCGACCGGAGCAGGCGAAGAGCGGAGGATCTGTTTTCCGCGGACGCGACGCACAGGCTGGACGGCGACAACGGCACACGACGACACTCCACGCTCTCCGCACTCGGACGATATGCCGCCGGCACGACGCCAGCGACGCCTGGCGTCGCGACGCCCACCCCCGCTCCCGTCCGGTGCGAGACGCCGCGAGGCGACGCGAACTCGTGCGAGCGCTATATAGCCGACCATAGCGAGGGTGGCGGTGGTGAATGTGTTACCAGCCACCGTGCCGAAGAAGTGGCGGATTTAAAGCGGGATGCTCGGAGAAAACTGAGAATCGTTTGCATTTTACTTGTCAAATTTATAAAGACATTTATTTTCTAGCTGTTCTCAATGATAATTTACAATCGCAACACGAGACTTTTCTTTCCTCGCAATTTTCGCATTTGCGTTCCAATGTCTTTCCTCGCGTCCGGTATATCAGTAGTTATTGCTACTAGAAATCAGACAAGTGGTAAGGATCATACAGGGAACAGCCCGTGTTCAATAGCACGTGACACTTACATTAATTATAGTCACAACGCAGGAGTAAAACTTCATATATTGTTTCGTGCAACCCGGATTTGAAATTTTTTATCTTTCCATTCGGAAATTTAAACTTATATTATTTGTTTAATTCATATATAAGATAATGAGATTTAATATGAGATTAATTTTTATTTTATAATTATTAATTTATATAAGTATCAGGATTATTAAAAAATTTTATGACAAAATTTATTTCAGTTGATATATAACTAAGTACTATAATGCAATATAAGGTTGAGCGCGAATAGATTACACAACTGCAAAGTTACATAACTTAATGCAAATTACATAATTACATAATTATTACAAATTTTTCCTTGAGTAATTATTATTACCAGTATCGTTGTCGTTGACAAAGCTGCTACATTGGAATTTCTTCTACAATGAATTTGATATCGTTTGTAACAGGCCAGAAATGTTCCTTTTTCTTTTTTATATAATACTTTCTTTATATAGTAAGGGGTCTTTTAGAGATAAAAGAAAATTGTATTCCTCTCCTGAGATTTTTGTCAGTTAGATCTCGTGAGATTGGTGCTAGAACGAGAGGAAACAGGTAACGAAGATGGAAGGAAAATCGGCAAGATACATGCGCGAATCGACGGACCACGCGCGTAAGGAAAACACTCCCTCGCCCTCGGTAGAATGACAACTACGGCAATGGTCGGCGGAAAAATTTATTTTCGACCCATTTCAGTCGACCCACTTTTGCACACGCTGCGTGAGGGGGGGGAATCGCTGAGTTTCCATACGTAGCTCGCGAGGCACAGAGGCGGATAATCTAGCAAAGAATGCTTCGCTCTTCATCCCACATCATCCTTCGAAATTCTCTCGCCCTTTACAATGAAACGTAATTATTGTTAATCCTTTCGAGAGGGAGGAGGAAAAGAGAGAACGGAAAAAGTAGAATTAATACCTATAAATAAATACATATGTCAGCAGCAATAAAAACGAACTGCACAGAAAATTCTTACATAAATTTTCGTATGCGATCATACACTGTCAAATTTATAGTGTGAAATTAAAGCTAATTTAAATCGCCACTGTTTCTACTCAATATATCGTTATTTTATACTAAAATAATAGATAAATTTGACATTATATAGTGTCAAATTGTTTTAGTATAAAATAACGATATATTGAATAGAAGCATGAGTGGCAACTCAAATTAAATTAAATTTAACAGCGTAGAAAGAAAAGAGTTGTTAAAACAATTAAAAACTTCACTGATTGAGCAAATCTACACCCGTGATATACAGACAGCCAGTTTTCTATGTTAAATTAGTAAAGTTTTACATCTGAAAAAAATTAGTAACAAAAAATTATAGACAATAGCTGCATGTAGCAGAAAAATCAGCTTTGCAACTGTTGTAAAATTCTTGAATATGATTAATTTATACATTTATAGATCCAGTGAGAAATTATGGGCAAGACCATATAATCATATTAAAAATTTTACAACAGTTGCAAAGCTGCTTTTTCTGCTGAACGCAGCAATCATTACAATGGTAACTATGAAGTTTAAGGGAGCCGCCCAATGACCTTGATCTTGACATATATTGTCAAGGTTATCGCCTTGAGTGACCTTGAGGAAGCCATCGGACGTTACTCGTTAAAAAGTTATAAACAAAAAAAATTTAAGAAATAATGTTTCATTTCTGCTATATAAAATCAAAATTTTCTGCTTTAAAATGAATTTCCTGCTTTAAAAACATTATTTTCTTATATAATCTTTGTTCTAAGGCAGAAAATTTATGATTTTGCAACGACTCTTCATTTAAAATGATACTTGTACTAAAGCCATCGCGTAAAAAGTCGTTACTTATAATGATCGAATTCACGCTTTTTTCGACATTATCTATGTATCCATTTCATGCTAATTAAATTTCTTTACAAATTAATATTGCTTTTTATTTTCTTTCCTTATTGAAGGAGGTGGCTGTTATACAGTGTATGTTCGTTATAGAGTATATGCAGAGTAAAGCAGAAAAAATATTTTCTGCTTTAAGAACAAAAATTATATAAGAAAATAATGTTTTTAAAGCAGGAAATTCATTTTAAAACAGAAAATTTTGATTTTATATAGCAGAAATGAGACATTATTTCTTAAACTTTTTTGTTTATAACTTTTTAACGAGTAACGTTCGACGCTAAAACTTTCTCAAGGTCACTCAAGATCATGATCTTGACAACATATGTCAATTACCGTAACAATAGCATAATAAATTTGTTAACATAGCAAAGATAGTTTTTTACGAAAATCAGCCTAATACATAGATCAAAATTTTTAATAAAATTTTTAATAAAATTTTTAATAAGACATGCTAGCTAAAAGACGCATATTTTTTATAATTGAAGAAAACTTGTTACTTTAGCAATTTTTATTATAACAAAAATTAACTAAATTTGTATACTGATAATTGCTTACAAACATAATTCCTTTGTTGAACCGTGAAATCTTTTTAATTATACATAAATGTTGAATTCGCGCAAGCTGTAGCTTTGCTGAATCAACCAATCTACTTTTTTCCGTGATTATTTTTACGTAATGTAAAATATAACTATATATGCACATATATATATAATCTAATTTATATATAACTATATACTAAAGTTTATTTTTTAAATCGCACGAATTTCTATAATTGTAAATATAGAATTTACGATTATTGTTTTCACAATAACTTGCGTAATGAATGTACTGTGAGTTTCATAAAAAGATAAAGTTTAAACGAGATAATTGTTTACGTTTTTCTGCGAGTTTTGGCTTTTTCAGGTCCGACCCATTTTTAAGGGTACAAATTCCATCACATCCAGCGTTACACGAGAACGGAACTTATTTGTTAAGTAGGGGATGGAAAATCAGATAAGCTTGCTGCTTTATTTTCATGTCACGTACCAATGTCTTGTTTCTGATCTTTTTACATCTTAAAAGAATTGAATTCATATATCTTTAAGAAAAATTCTTTTAATACGTAAATGTCGTAAGTAATATCAAGTAATAAGTTAAATAATAATAATAAACGTAATGTTAAATTAAACAAAAGTTTTATGAATAATAATGATACGTTTTATTCAAATATAGTTTGTGGCAGATCCGAGGACTGCCTAGGAATATTATATCATAATAAGATAACGCAAAAAATTGAATTTAATGTAATCTTATGAAATAAAATTTCACATATCAGATAAAATTAAAATTTATTAAATGATAATTGTTTGCAGAAGGTATACATTATGTCTTCAGGGAAATTAGGATAAAACGATAAATAGCGAAAGTATCACTTAACATTACGGTTATCGCGTACATTATCGCCTATACATAAGGGATATGTATTTTTACAAGATGTAAGTACTATCGATCACGAAATTACGTCGCAAGAAATATCAGTGCCGACAATTTAAGTCTCTCTTCGGTTGCACTACCACATTTTCTCTTTTTTTTCGATATATTTATGTAA